TAGTAGTAGTAGTAGTAGTAGTAGTAGTAGTAGTAGTAGGTATAGGTAGTAGTAGTAGTAGTAGTAGTACTACTACTACTACTACTAGTACTAGTAGTAGTAGTAGTAGTAGTAGTAGTAGTCGCAGCACAGAAGATTAAGCAGTGATTTCCGCAGACACAACCCTGGTCAGCAGCGGCACCTCCAGGCAGACAGGAACGGGAAACACCTGCACAGCATCTGACAACTTGTTAAGGGTTTGAGGGCTTGGTGACTAAGTCCGGTGCAGCTTCGGATCAAATACGGCTTCCATGTTTAGGGTTAACAAGGATGAAAATGCATGGACGCAGGATGACGAAGGTAGGTAGGTGGGTGGGTGGGTGGGTATGCATGTATGTACGTCGGTGTGCAAACATACGTGCATGACATCCACATACCTATAATACATATATATAGTTATACATACATAGGCCTGAAAATTAAGAACCAAACGCCAACATACATGTTTTTAGCTGTCTGATTTACGGTGTTCTGCTTTGCGGGCTGGGTTTCGCACATCAAGCCAAGCCCCAATCAGCCTATTTGGGGCTAAGGCAAAGAAGGTCATTGGATGAATCGTGTTGCCTTGTGTACCCTGTGCTGGAGCTGCAGGTTTTGAGCTTAGCATAGGGTTTGGCTGCTCTCAACCTACTTTGCAAGCTCTTTGAGTTGGGGGCAGGCGATGGGAAGGTAGAAGACGGGAAGATCGGCACCAACAACCCAACCAAGCTCTGCGTCAACAATGGGAAAGCACAGTTGCGTTTTCTGCGTGCTAGGTTGTGCTATGGTGTGCTGAGATTGCGAGAAAGCAGCAAGAATTGAACAACAAGTTGATGCTTGTCTGTGCGAGTACCTTCGTGCTGAACTATCGAGACAACCGATCGCCGAGGCTGCCAGTAAGCAAAATGGGGTCACCACTAAGCCCCATCCTCGCAATCCTTCCTCGAAATCCTATACACGCTGCCGCCTGCAATCTAGGCCTGTCTCTTTGTTTGCCTCCCGCCCTCTTGCTCTCTCAACCCCCAACCCCTCCATCTCAAGATCTTGGCCCGGCTTTCGATCGAACCCGTGTCCTCCTGGAAACCCGTGCGGCACAAGTCCCCGAGCCTCTGACCCCTCGACCCAGCGAAAGCCTAAACCAGGATCAGAAACCGTCGCCCAAATCCGTAAAAACCGCAAACCCTAACCTACCCTAAAACCGCAGTCTTCCCTCAACCCCGGTACCTCAAACCCCAAACCCTATAATAATACCCAAATTCCTATTATAAACCCTAAACCCTATTATAAACCCTCAACCCTCTTACAAACCTTTCAACTAGTTCCCTAAACCCTAAACCCATAACCCTGAACCCCAAACCCTTAACCCTGAACCCTAAACCTTAAAGCTAGCTAGGAAGCTCCTCGGCCCTATACCCTGCTAAGAGACTCCCAGACCGTCCTGGAACTTCGTCGATCCTCCTCCATGAGCACCTTTTGTCATCCGGCTGATGATATAAATCCTGCATTACCCATAATAAGGAATATACCATAATTCTCATAGTTTAGCGTCCTTCAGGTAATGCAGGATTTATATCATCAACCGTCTCTTTGGCTTTTCGCTTAAGGAGGTTTGTGGGGTTTAGGCTTAGGTACTAGGGGTTCAGGGTTTAGGATTTGTGGGGGCTTGTATTTGAGGACGTCCGGCTTTACAGGGACCCATAGTTTCAAAGAAACTCAAGTTGAAGGGATGAGGTTGCTTTTTTGCCTCTGCGTTTCTTAGCAGGTTTTACTTATATAGGATTACATCCTAAATTTTAGGATAAAGGGCTGCGGGGATTTTTTTGCCTCCCACCTTGCTAGGACGAGCCCGCATTGCAGGGCTGCGGGGATTAGGGCTTGGGCTTTGGGTTGTTGGGCTGAGGATTGTGTTTCAGGTTGCAGACTTTGCGGTCTAGTGAGTCGCGTATATAGTTGTGTTTGCTGCGTGTTTCATTTGTGGCGGTGAGGATAAGGAAGCCGTCGGGACGTCGGGTGGACGGTTACAAGACTGAAGGAGGTAACATGCGCCTTGAACAATCTTCGCCTGCGATGAACTACGATGGTGGTCATTAATGCTGACGAATGATTACATGCTGGCCGGTTTTGCGCGGGCGCGGTCACGACTGAGTAGCAGCGCCCACTATCTCGAGTTGACAAAGCGTCCCAATAAACCAAACGATGCCAAGCACAATCATTAATGCTGCGGCTGCGTGGACGGCAGAATAGTGAACTTCCAAGCTGTTGCAGACGTACTTAGCTTCGCTCTTGCCTCCAGGTTCTACTGCTTCGTTCCTCATCTTGAGAATCTGTCGGTGGCGCCGAATGGCCAAGCACCCAACGCAAGCCGGGAACACGAACTGGCCAACATTCAGTGGCAGGCCCATGAAAATTGCCATCAAATAGCGTTTAGTTTCAAGCGGCAGGAGCAAGTTGGAGATGCATGTGGTGACAAGCAGCACTTTCGTAGCAATCTTCAAGAGCCGCTGTCTGCGAATGGCCCATGCCAGATGAAGCTGCAAACCTCATATCCACGCACTAGTAGGAAAAAAGAGACACTTTGGCTCCTTGGGGATGGGGACGCAGAGACTTAATATCATGTTGACTAATGTTCTGGATCGAGGTCTGGCTTTCGCGTGACTTTATTCAAACATGGCCTGGCGAATCGTCCAGCTGGATCAATGCTTCGAACTCTCGATATAACGGCCAGAAAGTCAATGGAAAAGTGGTCACTGTCCTGAAAGTCGAAAAGCGGGAGACACTGATTCGCTCAGCAAGGCCACAGCTTCATGCAAGTCTCGGAATTCGGCATGACTTTCTCTCGATGGTGGGATGACTTCTATGATTCTACAATGAGAAAGGCTAAGCCTTGGTGACCCAAGGTGTGCAAGCAATCGACTGCCTCTGGAAGATACAGAACCGACGGATAAAATTGCACATGAGAAAGCATGCCGATGCCTCAACGGCTGGTTCCTAAAGTAGCAGCGACAGTGTAGTCATCATAGTACCACCACAAACAACACAGGAGGAGGAGGGTAGTAGTAGTGGTGGTGGTGGTGGTGGTGGTGGGTGGTGGTGGGTGGTGGTGGTAGTGGGTGGCGGTGGCGGTGGCGGTGGCGGTGGTAGTAGTAGTAGTAGTCGTCGTCGTCGTCGTCGTCGTCGTAGCAGTAGTAGTAGTAGTAGTAGTAGTAGTAGTATCGTAGTCGTCGTCCAAGTAGCAGTAGTCGCAACAGCCGAAGTAGTAGGCAATGGTAGTGGTAGTGGCAGTGGTCATGGAACGGTAATTGTAGTGGTAGTGGTAGTGGTAGCCGTACCGGTAGTGGGAGAACGAAGAGGAGAAACAAGAGCAGCAGCAGTAGAATTCGGGCCGGCCCACCCATACCGCTTCTATCGGTCATCAGACCAAGCATCTTTAGCACGAACAGCGCGCTGATGATGCGGGCAGCGTTTTGGTACCAAAGGCCCATCTCCATCATCTGCTGTAAAGGCGTGCGTTTCTCGATCGTGCTTGCCCAGCCAAAGTAGCCAATCATTGCCATGAACAGGTAGAAAACCATGATCCTGGTGGTCGCCTTGACGACTACAATCTTGGCATTGCCTGGGTTCAGCATGTCAGCCAAGACATAAGGCCAGATGGCTATGCCCCCAAAGGCCATGCCCATGTCATAGAGTCCTTGAGGGATTTGCTTTCCCACCATGCAGTAAGTATTAGGATGATCAGAGAACCAGGTGGCAATACCATGAATGGATGCACACGTCATCTCGATAATGCCGATCGCAAGCATGGAGTAAACGGCGTAGGAGGCTTTCGTCTGAAGGTCCTTAGCGCTCGTCTTCAACGATAGCGGAACGATGACGATGGCCAGCAGAACCGTGCCGACAATCTTCCACCCGAACGGCGTGTCCAAATCCTCGAAGTCGTCAGCATGCTTGTCCATGTCTGGGGTCACGACACTCAGGACGTTCAGAAAGACATTCTGTAACTGAATGGCGCATGCCCCGTACCAGCTCAGCATTGATAACACCGCGCAAAAGAAATAACTGCGCGATAGTAGGAATATTTTGGCGAGGAAGGTCGCGTTGGGCACGTCGCGTTCAATCAGCTGTGGGACCTCCACAAGCCGCAGGCAGATGAAGATGTGAAAAAGGCTGAAAGCTGTCAGCGCCCCGAAACCCACCAACCATCCACATCGAGAAATCGCACGCGAAAGGCGAAAGGTACCTGCCCCCAGCAGTATGGCCATGTATGCATTCACGCAGGCGAGATCCGAAGCCTTGGAGTAGGGCCGCAGGATGTCCTTGCAACAACAGCTTGCTTCTACTTGGCTGCCTGCTGTTTAGAGCTTGACTGATAGTCCTGAATCATAGAATCATTTTCCCTCGCAAGGAAGCTACTGACTCATGTTGATGACCTTCAATGCAAGTGCAGAGGCCACGCTGGGCACAAGCACGGAAGCAGTCTCTACTACCTAGTACTAGCAGTAGTACTGGTACTCGTACTACTAGTACAAGTACTAGTTAGTACTAGAACTAGTACTAGAACTAGTAGTAGTAGTAGTAGTAGTAGAAGTGGTAGTAGTAGTGGTAGTAGTAGTAGTAGTAGTGGTAGTGGTAGTAGTAGTAGTAGTAGTAGTGGTAGTAGTAGTAGTAGTAGT